CACCCACACACACACACACACACACACACACACACACACACACACACACACACACACAAAGAAAGAAACAGTCAGGCAAAAAGCAGAGCAGAGTGGTTTTCTTGAACAGTGGTGAGCTCTCCACCTTGGGATATGCACAGAGGGGGATGAGATAAAGCTTCATTCATAGACGGCAGCCATGCTTAAGGTGTTGGCAGGCTATGGAGTCTAACAAGGATATAGAAGAAGGTGTTCTAGGTTCTGGCTAGATCCTGTCATATGACTTTGGACTGTGCATGGGTGGTTTTCTTTGCCCTTGGTTATGGTAACTATTGTTTATTAAATAATTTCCTTGAAAATGCCACTGTAGGTTTCTATAATAGTTAGATTTTTAATGCCAATTTTATACATAAGGAAATGGTGTGATAGTTAATTGTCATTATCAACCTGACTAAATTCACAATCACCATAGAATCACAACTTTATCTATGAGGGTGTTTCCAAAAAAGTTTAGCTAGCAGGGAAGAATCACCCTGAATGTGGGCTGAGCCATCCTATGGGCTGTGGTCCTAGCATGAGTAAGAAAGGAAAAGGAAGATGAGTGGGAGGTAGGCAAGGCATGACCAGCTGCCCTGGGCTGGAGAGATGGCTCAGCTGTTACAGGCTAGGCTCACAACCAAAAATACAATCAGCTGCCCTACACACACACTGCCATCATTTACTTCTGTGCTGTTCATACTAACCCTTCAAACTGTGAGCCAAATAAACCCCTCTCCTAAGGTTTTTGTCACAGCAGTAAGAAAGGTAACTAAGACACTACATTTCAGAGTGTACACGTAATTTCACAAACTCAGTTCTAACTTAAAGCTATCTGGTGTTCCTATATCACACAGCACATGGCTTCATAGCAGTTAAAGGTCATTAAACTCAAAGTATTCTCAAGTTTCTTTAGTGGTCCCTTTGCACTGCTAAGTAGTATGCCTAGAAATGTACACAAATTGCCTCAGGTTTTACCTGAAAGATCATCACCAAGAAGTCATTGCTTCCCCTACATCAATTCTCCTATGTTAATACAAACTTTCATGATGGTGCCTCTTTCCATGTTCCAGAGATCAGTGCTTACGGAAAGGGCCCTTTAGGCCCTTGGGCTATCTGTCTTTGTACCCTCGTCTTGATTATCTTTGTCTTCCGCAGTTACTACTCTTTACCTGCACGCCTATTCCATATGTAAAGTGTCTTTTTTGTGACCATAATAACTCATTCTGGAGATTAAGTTCTTTACTTCCTGGTACATGGACTCATATATGACTGTACTTTCCTGTCCCCTGATAATGCTACTTCCTTTCCCTAGCTCCAGTCACTTCCAAGGTGCTTCTCCTTAATTTCTTTCCTTACATCTGGCCCTGCACTCCCTGTCGCTCAATCTCACCTCAACCTCAGCGTGGGTCACTTCCATCCATTTATTTTGGCCTCTGCATATGGGTTGCTGACGCAGCTGCTAAATCCAAGCAGCCATGAAGATTGATGCCACCATAAATGCATGGAGCCTGATCACAGCTGCTCTCTAGATCCACCATACTCAGCAACCCTAGTCCAGGTCCTCCATCATTCCCCTCAGCCATTTTTTTTTCTAAACTGTCACCATTTCACACAAGCGTTCAAGTGCCACCAGTTTAGTTTAAACTATGCAGTACCCTCTCCTGTTACATTCCTCAATCTTCCAAAAGGTCCCTTTCATTCTCAGTAGGGGAAATGCACTCTGTTTGAAGAAGCTTACTTTCTTCCACCCCTACGTTGCCTATGACTTATGCCATGGTTCACATGCAGTTGAGTCTTTCTATCTCATATATGCATATATGTCATGGCATGATACATGTCTCCACTTCTTTTTACCAGGACTTTGCTCTGTTGTTAACACACTTTGATGTTCTTCAGCCTTTTCCCTTTCTTGTTGCTCATTCTGAACACTGGTTAAATAAGTTTAAGTTCCATACACGCCAAATTCCCTCTTAGTGTAACTATAACTATAAGTAATTGCAGAACAGAGCTTGGGACAAAACACAGTGAGTCGTTTAAGTGTGTTTCAGTGGATCAGTGAGTGCTTTAATTAGTTTATGTTATACTTATTAATATTCTCAAGCTATTTTTAATCATACCAGTTTGGTGCATTTGCAAATAAACTAGCTCTTTGTAAACATATGAATTTTCTTTCCTATAAATTGTTCAGCAAAATCAGTTCATCAGCTAAGAATGGGTAGGATAAGGTTGTCTTGCCATCTTTGAGCACCCTCTGCTGGCAATATTGAAGAATAACACAGAAACTTACCTTAAAGTCCAAAACATTGTCCACAGAGGTAGGCCTGGTGGTACAAACCTGTAATCTCAGCACTTAGCAGATACAAAAAGGAGGATCAGGAATATAAGGCAAACCTCATCTACCTAATGAGTTTGAAGCCAGCCTGAGATAAGAGAATGAACATATAGCCATTGAGGATATGTTGGTGAGCTGGTCATTAAAGTTTATAGATTTACAGCTGGCTACAATTCTTGACTGTGGAAGATTGCATAACACCTTTGTATACTGGGAGAGCTAATCCTCAAGGGGGAATGTTCCAGTTAGAACCTACGTCAAATCCTTCATGCCCTGTGTTTAAAGTGCATGACACTTTGAGCAATAGGACTCTACTTTGAAGTTCCTGGAGGAAGGCAAGGGCAATGGCAATAGCCTATATTGTTTTGGGAGTCTCTTGGACTTCAATGACCAACAGCTTGAAGAGAGGGTTCCCATGCCTAGTGCTGGAGCTTTTGTTCAATGGTCAGTTGTTCTCATTATTCTTACAGTGGAGTCCTGGGTTTGACTATGGGTTCAGAATGACTGAGGCAGAGAGTGGGTAACTGTCTGCTTAGTGTGCAGCCTGTCCAAATAGCTTTGACTGGAAGGGAAGTGTTTTGCCCATCCTGTCAAAAAGTTCCTGGTGAGATTAAGATTTTACCATCACAGTTTCTCTGCTTCTCTACACACACACACAGACACAGACACAGACACAGACACAGACACACACACA